TGAGTGATTGTAGTTTGCCATTTCATTTAATCACAGTATATAGAAATTCCTATATGAGATCTACATTCCAGACACATTCCTCTTTATTTCTATTGTCTTGTATCTATTCATTGAAGAATCAGCTACCTTCATCTTTCACTTTGTCTGTTTATTCACAGTCATGCAAGTTCATCTGCCTAGGTGGCAATTTCAGCTTCCCATTTATGAAATAATCATTGTGTCCTCAAGTGGAAGATTTCTTTGGAAACAAGATGTGCAAAGTCTAAAATAGAAATAGGAAGCAAGATGAAATAAATCATTTTCATTTGTATCTCTTGATTGCTGGTCCTCAGTATTGTGGCTATCACAGACACAGGACCATATGTTAGGTATTTTACCATATCTTGAAAGATGTTGTCTCACAAGATGTTGCCACCCAGATGACACCATAACTCTAGCTAGGACGTGGGTCTTCTGCCTTTGGATTTTCGTTCTGACTAGAGTTACATCACTAATACTCTTGGGTCTCTAGCTTGGAGACTTCAGATTTTGGCATTTCTTGCCTCCACAATTATGTGAGCCAAGTCATCATAATATACTTAGGAATTCTTTTGTATGAAGAAAAGAGTTACAGTTTAGCCAGCTATGATGACACATATATGTAACTCCCACACTCTATTAAGTTGAGAGATGAGGAAAACAAATTTGAGTCCATCATAGGCAATTTAGCAACTTAGAAAGATCCTGTATCATTGAGTTCATACGTGTAATCTGAGCACTCTGAAGGCTGAGATAGGAGTATCACCAAGAGTTGGAGGCCAGTCTGAATGACTTAGTGAGCTCAGGGACAACCTAATCTACCTAGTAAGATACTGTCTCAAGAAAAGGCAAATAAACAAACAAAAACCAACCAACCAAACAACATTTACAAAAGGCCTAGGATATGGCGTAATGTGAAGACCCTGGGTCCAATCTCCAGTAGTGGGGAAAATATGTTATATTCTAAAAGTAAGAAAAAGATTTTATGCAAAAAATTGAAGTGTATAGAACCATTGTAAAAAGTATTGGTCTAATTACATGGGCAAATAGTTTGAGTTCAGTTTTCTCACTGCCAGATGACAGTAATAAGCCTCTACATCAAAAGGTATTGTGAAGATTAAACAATAAATATATTTAGAACAATGACTAATGTAACAGTGCTGGTTGTTTTTGTTGTTGGCAAAGAAAAGAATCAGTAACTAAGCCTTTTTGTTTCCTGGGAGGAAGAAAAGCTGGCAGAAAAGAAAAAGAGAAGCAGTAGGAGGGGGGAAGGGGGAACCAGAGGAAAAAGAAAAAGCTATAGAAGAGAAGCATGAAATTTAGCAAATAATCATACCACTAAACAAGACCAGAAATGTATTTGTTAGCTATTTCAAACATTCTTGAGAAGCCAAATCTGGAAACTTATTATACCTCAAACCTATGTACCCTCCCTCGTTGGCATTCAAAAGGCTTTAGTCTAGAGCCAGGCCCTTAGGAACTGAATTTTCTCTGTTAGCTTGCACGTGTGTGTTGTGTGTGTGTGTGTGTGTGTGTGTGTGTGTGTGTTAGTTAAATCATATTCATTTACATAAAAATCTGTGCATCCACTTTCTCAAGGTGTCTTTATTTTTTATTATTATTTTTAATTTATTTAGTACAGGGTTTACAGGATCTCACTACACAGATAGGACTTGTAGTAATCCTCCTGTTTTCAGTCTCCCAAGTGCTGGGATTACAGGTGTGTGCCACCATGCCCAGTCTCGATTGCCGTCTCAGGACACTCCCGGGGGTGGCGCTGGCACAGCTCAGGGATTGAATCCCAGTCTCTGTGTTTGCATAAGTAGGTGCTTTAATCCACTGAGCTATCTGGTAGGCCCCTGTACTATCTTTTTAAAAATTAACCTTTTATCTTTTTTAGAGACAGTATCTTACCAGGTAGCTATAAGCATTCTGAGAGCTGGAATTATATCATGGGTTACCACACTCAGTTCTCAGTATATAATCTTATCCAGATTTTCAGCTCTTCAAAGCTAGAACATGTATTTAAAAAAAGAATAGTAGTAAACTTTTAACTTTTTATTCTCCTTTTTCTTTTGGAACACACAGATACACAAACACACAAATCAGTATGAAAATATGAGGACATCAAGGACATGATTGGTCAACACAGAGGTAGAAATTTTTAACCTTAGTTTTAAACAAAACACATTCTTAGACAATTTTTGTTAGAAAGGCTTTATCCAAGAGTAGTCATGCTTACATCAAGATTTTATTTTATGCTTTTTGGATTGTATACTTGTCACAAACAGGAAGTAAATACCAGCATTTTTTGGACGTAGTGCAAGTTTATTTCTTATTGTACCACCTGATAGTAAATTTTTGTTTAAGCAATTTTCATTGTTTGCTTCTATTAACTATTTGGTGAATAAAATATGCTCCATTGTTTGTTTCTGGTCTTTTTTGCTTCCTACACTTATGTTAGTAATTTCTAGCAGATGAGTAGAGATGAACAAGCCTCTTTTCTTTTGAACTATATCATTTTTATAGCTGAGCGAATTATCAAAATTTTATGAAAGTTTGGCTTATGGCCCATCACATCTATAATGAGCATTTCTTTTTTAAATCCCAAACAACAGCATTTAAATTTTATATGATGTAATAAGTCATCTCCATTACAATGTCTTCCTTATTTCCTTAATGAAACTGAAATCAACTTTCATAGTGGAAAATTCTAAAGTCTTTTAAAATATTTTCATATATATTTATGTGTGATGATAAGTAACAAGTGATGAAAATAAACCTTCAGTGTACATTTATAAAATGAATAGTGTATCCATTCAAGTGTCCATCATAGTCTTAATCCGGAGGACTTTCAATTAATGTTCCTGATTCCTATTATATTTAGAAAATAGAAGTAAATCTCATGTTTGTATAAACAAAACATCAAACTGACTTATGCCTAAACTCTACAATAGTACCCTGGTCTCCTTGTGGCTTTTAAAGATGAGCTGTAGATAAGAGTCATATCTTTGAGATAAGGCCAGTGCCTTCCTAGATCCCCTCATATCAACTTGATTCTATCTACAGTTGTCACCTCGGACTTCTGGATCACCAATTTCTCCCTCCTTACTGGTCATCTTAACAGTTTCTCTTTGAATCTGACTTTCATTTTAGCTAACTTTCTACTCCTCTGCTTCCTCTTTCACGTCACTTCCTGAGACTCTTCTACTCTCCCTGGGCACAAATCTTCTTTCTCCACTCTCTTGTGAGCTTGAGCTAGTCAGATTTTGATCTTGGCTCTCTTGTCAGAAGCTCTTGTCAAGGTCACAAGTGACCTTCACATTGCCGTATCCGATGGGCAGTTCCTATCCTCATTTGGTGGAGGAACTCATCAGTATTCTTTTTCTTCAAATATGTAGTCATTTGCAACTAAAAAAGATGCCTTTATTGATATTCATGCCAATACTTTTCAGCTTCCTTTGGGAATCCCCTTTAATTTCTCCAGTATTCGAACTCTCTACTGCTCAGAGCCCAGTCACTATCCATGTTCAGTCTGTGTGAGTTCCTGTAGCTTCACAGCTGTTGATGGCATCCTACTAAAGCCTCCCAAGTGTACACTTACTGTCCAGTGTTCTCCTCTTGAGTCCACATTTGTATATCTACCTGTTTCTAATCATCACCATCTGCTTGTCTAGTGTGCTTCTTAAAATTAATCAAATTTTTGATTGCTTCTTCAAAACTTCTTTATTATCTCAGCAAATAGTACATTAATTATTCTAGCATACCACAAAAAGCTTGGAATAATAATTGCTAAAGCATCTTATCCTTCTGTGTTTTCTGAAAACAGACCTTTAAAAATCCCAGAATCTAATCATGTGTCACTTTTTGCTTCCATATCACCTCTATCCCCTTTGTTCATCACCTCCAAATGTGGCCTTCCTTAGAAATAGTGTCATTGAAAATGTAATTAACTAAGATGAGGTAACACTGTAGTGGGGTGGTCTCCTAATCTAATATGATGAGTGTTCTTATAAGAAGATAGCCATCTGAAGATGCAGAGACACCCACATAGGGAAGCTCAAAAGAAGATAAAGGCAGAAATTGGAGTGATGCTGCCACAAGCATGGGACTTCTAGAAAATCCTGCTCTGTCCTGTGTAGCTCTTGGTTCCCAGGGAGAGGATGACGAGAGGATGAAGGAAAAAAGGAAGAGTCAGAATAGAAAAACTGAGGCCCTGTGGAGCCTCTGTCCTGATGGGAAGGATGAAAGAAAGAAGGGGAGGATGTAGAGGAGAAAGAAGAGGTGAAAGAAGAAGAGGAAGAAGAAGAAGAGGAGGAAGAGGACCAGAAGGATGAGGAAGACAAGGAGAATGAGGAGAAGGAGGAGGAGGAGAGCTCCAAGGTCTGCAGCATGTTTACTTATACTAGAGAGGTTGAAAATCACATGAAACCTGTTTGCATAATAGTTTAGCCATGTGGCTTGCTTCAGGCCCCGTGTTCCCTCTTGAGATTAGTTTATCCATGTGACTTTTCTCAGGTGATGTGTTCTTGAGGCTGACCTTGATCAATCTCCAACTTCAGCCACTCTTCAAAATATCCCATATTATATAATTTTGATTTGGGGACTAAAAATGTCTTGTTTCCTCAAAAATTAATCTAAGAGATAAATTCTCAAAGAATAAAAATTGTTTATCAAAATGTATATTAAATCATGACAAGGCCAAGTGGAGAAGAGAATTATTTCAGATCAGTTAAAAAAGACCATGTGTCCCTGTTTAAGGGGACATGTTATTTTAAGACAAATAGAATTTCAAAGAAATGTTCATCTTATTTAGTAGTAGTGGTAGTATTATTATTCTAAAATTATTCTAAGTATATAATAACACAATGCAAACAAGGTATTTTATTACCATTGTTAGGAGCCAATGTGAAAGAAGAGCTGCAAGTATAAAACAAAATAAGTTCAACTGAGCCTCATAATTTACTTCTGTTTGCACCCCCAAGGGGAAAACACATAAGTAGCCCCCACTACCACAAATTAAGCAGTCGAGTTTCCCACATTTAAGAAAATCTCAGAGGTCACCCTCTCCGCAGTGCGATGGATAAGCCTCACCCTTGGGAAGCCACTTCATGATCATAGTATCTCCCCTGCCAGGTATTTCTTGCTTAAATTTCAATGAGAAAGAACATGCATTCATGTAATTGCCTTTTTTTTTTTTTTCAAAACTGAGGTTTTAGTTTTTCCCAAGGAAAAGCCTAGAAACAATAATAGTCTATAAAAAATGAGGGTCATGAACTAAACTGTGCCACCCTATACTAAAGGTATATTTGGCCCTAGGGTCTTTAAGAAGCTGATTAAAGTTAAATGAGAAGGCCAGCGAGATAGCTGAGCAGATTAAGGGCCTGATTAAGCAAGCATAGGAACTGGGTTTGATGGGTGATACCAAATGCTGTACCAATCCCACCCCTGGATGCACTGAGCATGCCTGTAATCCCAGCGTTGGGGAGGCTGAGAACAGGAGGATCACTAGAAGTTTGAGCAGCATAGTGAAACCCTGTACCAAGCACGGAAAATAAATAAATAAAGTTAAATAAGATCATAACAGTGCATCTTTAACACTGATATCTTTATAAGAGGACACCAAGTTCTCAGCATATACACAGAGGAAGAGCCATGTACCAACATAGCCAAAAGGTGACCATGTGCAAGCCAGATAGAGACCTTATCAGTAAATGATTCTGATAGAATGTTGAACTTGACCTCTAGCGCCCAAAACTGAGAGAAAATAAATACCTATTATGTGAGCCACATAGTTCTGTATAACTTTCCCCATGTTTAAAGTAAATCAGTTGTTCTCTTTGATTTATGTGTACTCTGAGCCAAAACAGTGAGCATGACTAGGGTCAATTGGTATTATATTCATACCAATTTCACTGAAATGGGTCAGGGTTTCAGGAGAAAAAAAATCTATTTTTAGTTTAAACGTATTTTTTGATCTGGATAGCTTATTTGATTGAAAACCAGGATTTCCATCAAAGAACACAATGGCCAACATGAAGGACTTCCAGCTGACTAAAGATAGGACAATTTGAGCATCAAATATCATAATGAATGAGGTTAGTTAAAATTATTAAATAATATTTTATGAATTCAAAAGTGATCCTTTAAATGAGACAGAGGTGGGGAAAGAAATAGGACCCCAAAGTGAGAGAGTGGAGAAAATGCTAGGTCTTATAAGCTCCATACATCTGCAATGGATGAAAGAATTAGACGATAACAATTTTCAAACTCTAATGAAGTAAAATGACTTAAGCAAAAACAGTAGCTGCACCATTAGATGAAAATGTGATGGCAAGATCAGGCTGTGAACACTTGAAGCTATTGAGCAAACTCACCAGCACTAAAAGTGGGACTTACATGCCTGCTGATGTGCTATCATTTGGCTCACACAGTACCACCTACAAATTATTTCTGCTATGGAATTTTGAACTTGAAACTAAACAATCATCTAGAGGCAACTTCTGTGTATAGCGAATGAGAACAAAACAAAATGGCAATGCAAGAAAACAAACAGACAAATCCACATTGTGGGATGCTCTTCAAACACACTGACCCAATTTCTTTAACAAGTCACATACAGAGAAAGGAAAAAGTAGGGAACAGAAGAGGGGAAAAATTCTTTTAATTTTTAAATCAAAATAATTTCAGTGATGTTCAGTGACTTATCAAGAAAATATCGCGTAGACATGGTTTGGATCCTGAGTCAAACACAAAAATTACACAGAGACAATTTTGAGATAATTGGAGGGTAATTTGATTATAGTACTGGGTATTAGATCATATTAAAGACTGATTATTCATTTTATTAGGTGTTATAATGACATAGTCATGTGAGAAAATGTCAATATTTATTTTGAAAAATGTACTTACATGTAGCAGTGGAATGATGTGTTCACAAGTTGTTTTCAAATAATTCAACAAAGATAAATACAAATTAAAAAAGGATAAGTAAAACAAATGTGGAAAAATCTGGATAATTACTGCATATGAGCAATAGATGTAAGAATTATCATAAATTTTTGCTTGTATGTTTGAATTTTTCATAATAAACTATTTTAAGCTACTACATTTGAAAACTACAAGGTGATTCCTCAATGAATTGTAGCTGAGAGATAGTGCAGAAGTCAAACATTGGCAATGTGGAAGAGTAGGCCAGAGTCTAGAGCTTTGAGCAATTAGGGATGGACAGGAGGAAAATGCTGCAAGAAATGAATAGAAGGTTGAGAGTAGATCAGGTGTGCATGTGTTGTGTGTACAACTGTTTATATGTCTGTGTGTGTATGTTTGTGTTTTTTAGGTTAACAAAAAACCAAGCATTAAGCCAAGCAGGTTTACTATTAAAAACCTAGGAAAGAGTAACATACACATTATTCTTAGCACACAAGGATTTGCAGTCTTCCGCTTCCAGGTTCTTCCTGCTTCCTCCATCCTGCTAGAATGTGCTTTCACCTCATTATCCACTCACAAAAACCCTTCTGATTTCTTTGCCTTTGGAAGAGCAGACCAGTCATTGCATTCTACTTTTTTGATTTCTTGGACTTTCTTAACACTTTGCTCTAGACAGGCATCCTACTGTCTTAGCTGGCACAACTTATCCCCCCATCACCTTCTACTTGACTCCTTTCTGCTGCAGACACTTTAAGGCCCCCTAAAGAAGCAAACTAGGAAGACACCCAGTAACTTCTCAATCTCCCCTTTCTCTAAATTCATGCAGCATTCCCTCTTTCATAGTTCAATGACTGTGTGATGATGTATATGCTTCTGTATACAGTAATATGAGCAAAATAGTTAGAATCAAGTTTTTAAATGACACAGAGATATATTTCAATGTAGATCTAAGAATAACACCTAACCATTAGTTATCTTATTTTAGGTGGCATGTCATGATATAATGCCACTTTTGAAAGATATGTGCTCCTCAAGGGCCAGAGTGATAGTACTTTAGCAGTTTGGCATACCCTCAAGACCTTTAAAAAGAGAGCCATTGACCTACATTATAGACAGTCATCTCCTGAAAATGAGACTATATTAAGTGATCATCAAATTACATTCTAGCTATATTTTTACTACCAGAACTAGCTCTACTATTGAAGTTCATAATATATTACTGAACTAATATGCTACTGTACTACTGAACATAGTGTGAAATCCAGGACAGCAACATTGGCATTACCTATGAACTTGCTAGAAATGCAGTTTCACTCCCCATCCAAGACATACTCATCAAAATTTATATTAAAAAAGATTTCCTTAGATTCACATACACACTAAAGTATGGTGCTGCTAACATAACTGCATTATTTATATGTGTGTGTATATATATAGTATATATATATATGAGAGAAAGAATGTGTATATAAGCATTTCAATATTTCAGTTATTAAGGACTACATGTTTAGCATTATTAAGAAATATGCTTCTTCTAGTAACAAAAATTAAGGATTATAGTTTAACAAAGTATAAAATAATAAATTTCTGTTCTTCTAAACACTAAATAAATCCAAAATCTGTTTTCAGAATTTTTACTGGTGGATGAGAAATATAACCTGTAGAAATTTAACAGATTTATTTTAATATTTTAAATATAGATGCTAGTTTGTTTTGTTTTAATTAGCAAACCTCTAAAACATTGCTCAATCTTTAACATTGTCCCTAATTTTACTCTTGGCAATCAGAAAGTAAAATGAGATTCATTACTTATCTTCTTGCCTTCCTTGCCTACTGATAGATTGTATTTGTATTTTTTTCTATAAGTGCAAAAATTTTATTTTATTTTTTTGGGAATGGAAGTTTTTTTCCATAATTTTATTGAGAAACAAATAGCAATGAAACAGTTTCCAACTAAATTGGTAGGACAGTTTCAATAATTAACACATTGCATACATTCTTCCTAGTGGTTAATTGCTGTACAAGATGCGGAAATGATAGCCTATTTACAAACACTATTAGAACAAATCCCTCTATTCATTAAGATAATGTAACTATATATCTATTCTAACCATTTTGAATACATAGATACAAAATGAACATTCATGTGTATCCCCTTTTTCTGTTAAGTTCTGTTATTTGAATATTATAGGTGTGTTAACTAAGCAAAATATTCTAAAAGAGTCCAGTAGTCCACAATAGTATTGGGTCTCCTGCTTCACTGGCAATGTCACAAATTGTTGACCTGAGTTCCCTACAGCTCAACATAACAGCATGGCTTTACTTCTTATACTTCGTTTTTATACTTTTCTGCTGGATGGTTAAGACCAAGGTAAAGCAGAACCTATGCA